TAATGACATCACTCTAAAGAGACAGAAATAATTAATTATGAATGAAATTATTTTTATTTTGTTTTATTTTTTTACAGTTTATACTAAATAATAAATATAAATAAGATCACATAAATATAGAAAAAAGTTACAAATTATATGAAGATATTTATTTTAGAAAGACGTTAGAGACAAGAAAAAAATTATTTTATTAAAGTTTCTGACAATTTAAGTTATTACTTTAATTGATTTTCTTTATCAAATTCTTTTTTATTTTTGTATAATAAATTATATTAAGATATTTATATTTTAAAAAGACATCGTAAGTAAGATAAATATTATTTTAATAGAGTTCTTACCAACTTAAATCATCATTTTTATTAATTTTTTGTACTAAATTTATTTTTATTTTTGTGTAATAAATTATATTAAGATATTTGTATTATAAAAATAGGTTGTGGATATAGGAAAGATTATTTTTAATGACAGATCTTCTAAAAAACTAAGAGAATTATGTCCATTTATGATTTTAACCCTCTAAGTTTAATAATTATTAAGAATATATATTTGTATATTTATAAATTTAACTTTTTATCATTTTATATGTTTTTCTTATTTTTGTATTTATTTATTATTTATTATATTTAGCCCCAAAAACAAATGGTCTGTATATGACTATTTGAATGGAACTTTTGATTATATGAGTTACTACTTTTATTAATTTTCTATACCAACTTATTTTTTATCTTTGATAATTTACATTTTGAGTAATTTATTTTTTCAACAATTTACTATTTTCAATAATTTACATTTTCTCCATGTTTTTGAAAATTTACTTTCTTTATAATTTATATTTTTAAATAATTTACTCTTTCTCATAATTTATATTTTCAGTAATTTACATTTTCCTGTTATTTATTGTTTCTCATGATTTATATTTCTCGTAATTTACTTTTGTAATTTACAATTACTTGTATTTTATATTTATGCAAATTTTTTTAAGTTGTTTCAATGAATTTCTCTATTAAGTGATTAAAGATGGCTGAATTAATATTTAAAGTAAAACACTATAGTTAATGCACTTTTTTTTAAGTTTAATTAAAACAATTTCTAAATTAAAAAATATTACCTAGTCTAAAAAAATCTACAAATAATAAAAAATTAAAATATTTTTAATATAAATAAATTAGCACGCCTAAATGGAACCAATTTTTTCCACGTGTCTCTGACGTGTTGCCGCATTACAAAGATTCAAATTAAATGGTAGAAATGAAACTTATATTTTAACTACATACAGAATTTATTTTTTTTAATTTCTTCTTGTTTTTCTTTTTTTTTCTCCATCTTCTTCGTTTTTCTTCTTCTTCGCTTTATTTTTTCAATTTTCAGTGAAATAAACTTTAGTAAAAATCATAAATTTATAAGAGCATAAATGTAGATTAGGAGAGAATTTAATAAGATTCATTCTAAAATATTTGTAAAAAGTCTTACTATCACAAATTTGAACTAGTTCTTAATGTTTGAATGGAACCATAAAATCATTTGTTGATTTCTTTAACATTGTTTGTTGTTTAATTTACACAGTTATAGATACATGTTACCTCTAGAAAAGAGGTAAGAGGGTTTTAATAAATTCCTTAAAAATCTTTTCACTATGAATTATTAGTTGATACACCATGTCATTTGATCATAAGAGAATTAACTTATAGATATATCGTTTAATAGGTATAAATAGAATTAGATAATAATATATTGTTTGATGCTTTCATCGAATGACTTACAAATCATATGATGCTAAAAAAATATTTTTATAATAGTTTGAAAATGTTCATTCAAAATAAAAAACTTGGTAGATAAGATGAGCAGATAAATAAGCCAGTGCCAAATAACAATGTAGTCTTTCATATTGGTTCACCTTAAGGCAAAAACTACGGTCAATCTGTTTTAAAAAAAAAAAAACTTAAAAGAATTCTATAATTAATCAAATTGTACCAAGTACATTAAGTCTTTCCTAAATACACAAGTACACACAGTCACTCTAGACTAAGACCTCACACCACTCCCTAATATCAACCATAATCTCCACTTGACCCTAATTTTTTATATTATTTAAATCATACATTAACCGTTTCTTTTTATAAAAAAAGTTTTAAGGCAAGTGGCAAACCCCAAATTGTTTAACTAAAATATTAGATTTTTTAAAATCTTGACTTAATGGTTTAAAAAAAATTCTTTATCAGAAACATGCTTGTTTGCTCCTTATGATTTAGCTTTATTGGATGACATTCCATATGTTTAAGGAGAGAGTTGACAACATCAAATCACAAATAAGGAAGAAATTTTATCACACTAATAAATCAACTAAAAAAAAGTGGAGCATTAAACAAGAGAACTGATATCAGATGTAATTGATGGTTGGAAAAAATTATGACAATTCTAATATGCAATTGATAGAAGGACCACTTTATGACATAACATACCGTTGATGAAGATTATAAGATGAATTTGGTAGAAAGATAAACTAATAACGTGATAGTAATAGATAGAATTATTTGAAACTAGTCACCTAAACACATTTTCAAATAATTGAAGATATCCCTTGAAGAGAATTGATACCATCTAACCAAACCCTTAGTGACATGTGATAATAATTACAATTGACTCGCTTATCTAATTATTCATCAAATGCACTTGACTCCACAATTCATCATTTAACTCCTAATCAAGCCAGTTGACTCTAGAAAGACTTCAATTAACTTTAGTAGTTTGCCTTCTTTTTTAGTTTAATAAACTCAGCTAAAGACTTACTATGTATACTTGTTAATCTTATCTAATATGTATGATTGATCAACTCAATTAAAAGTCAACTCATCCAAGTTCTTTTTGTTCTTCTAATGATTGTTGACTAATAGTCGTTTGATGTTTTGACTAATGTTTGTAAGTTAAATTAAGTTTCAATTTCTTGTCAGTTCTGACTACAAGAATGATATTAGAAGTATTATAATTATTGAAATAAAAACTGTCATAAAAAGGATAAACAATAAGTATTTTTAATTAAGATTTTACTTCATTGAATGAAATATATGATAATAATTTGTATCTCTTAATTTTTCTAAACAAGAACACTCACTAAAAGAAAGAATAAGAAGGTAGTAGGTTACCTAGTTGTATGTCATTGTGCATGTATTTTTTTTTTTCAAAAACCCTACTTATATATAAGTTTTCAAAACATGAGTATTGTAGTCTAAACTTTAATCTTTGTTATATTATTATAAATAATCTTCAAATATATTTCTTCACACATGATCTCTCTTGTGGTATGTCTTTGCATTTTTAGTTATTTAATTCAAATACTTTTCTTATAAAACTTTGTTCTTTACTTGATTTACATAATGCATGTATTGTATTACTTGTTTCATTTTACATAGATATGATTGTTGGTTTACATATAACCTATCTATACTTTGATTAGTTTCATTTAGAAAAATCTTATATTTTATCAACTTCTTATTTGAATACTTTTTTTTTTGCATAACTTCACTTGAAGTTTTCTCTTTATATAATAAGTCTTAATTTTTACTTGATTCTTCTCATAATGTATGTAGTAAAATGGTATATTTTTTTAAATTGAGGATAATATTTTGAGTTTTAACCATTGTACATTTATTCATTTATTATATATTATGACTTTTATTATATAGTTGATCAATCATTTATATATAATGATCTATTTTGTGTATAGGGTCTAAAATGTGCTTATATGACCGGCTATAAAAAAAACTACCTTATCAATATTATATTAATTGGTCAATGAGTTGAAGACTGATCAATTGGATGGTCATCTTTGTATTTGATAGTCAAATATTCAACACTTTATGTCATGGTTAATATTTTTTATTAGAAGTGTTAATGAGTATTACTTGATCAATAATACATGTAGTGAGCGAAACATAATAATATGGTAATAACCAATCCGTGAAGTCCTAACTTATTATATGCATGATAATACCATAAAAAATTTTTGATATATTAATTTTCATCGTTTAAAAACACATGATACTTGAATAGCTTTATTAAACAATTTAATGATTTATATAATGTAATATAAAGTTTTTATGTATAGATTTTATGTCTATTTTAAAACTTTTTATTTTATGACAGATATTAACTAATTTAATCTTAAAAAAATTAAATTGATCTGAATAATACGACAGGTTACATAAATCCTTAGTGAAATTTTCTAAAGGAAGAAATCGTATTTTATTCTATTACAGATTTATCAATTTGTTGGTTTCTATCATTTGAAACATTATTTTTTAATTAATTTTGTTCTTCATAAATTTAAAAGATTTTGAAATAATTCTTACGACTGTAAGTCGTCTCAAAATTGTAATTGAAGAAATGTTAATATATATATATTATTTAATAATAATAATAATATATATGATAAAAAAGTAATATTTTTTGGCATAATAAAAAATGTAATTATATGTTTTTCTTAATTTTTTCTTGAATATAAAATAATAAATAAAAATGATAAAAAATATCATTTTTCTCTCCTTAACAAAAAAATATAATAAAAATACAGACATGCTATAAGAGTTTATATTTATGTTTCAGTAATTAATAATAATCTTAAAATTTATAGTTAATGATAAAAGTGGTCGCATATTCATGATAAAACCGTTTTAAAAATTGTTTTGAAAAATAGTTTAAATATACTCTTACTGTCTTAAAATTGAAGAGGATCCCATTTTAACATTAGAATATACAAACATTTTATTTAAAAAAAATATGAATTTAATGTATAAATATTAAATAAGAGATTAAAAAAATCATTAAATCATTTAAATTTAATATATATAATATATGACAATGATTTTCCAAGTGTATGGATGGAGAAGTGTGGAGTAACGTTAAAGACCCCACAAGAGGTAACAGGCAGGATTTCTCTCTATCTTCTCATCCACCACTTCTCCAATTGGAAGCACACCCCAACAATCCAATTTCTCAATCGTTCATCATTCTTCAATGTTCATAGCCACACCATACCACAACCCTTGTTCTGCATCCTTGCTTCTCCTATTCTTCCTGAGACCCCAAATGGCCTCTGCCAGTGCCACCACTCTCTTCTCCTCTAAACCCATGTTTCCCTCTGACCACCACTCTCTCTCCCCTTCTCCAACCATTCCCAAATCCTTCACTGGCCTCTGCAAGCCCTTCCATTCAAGAGTTCCCACTTCCATCCCCTTCTTCCATTGCAGAAGCCCGAAGTACTTTGTCAGAGCCTCTGTGAGTGCTTCTGCCTCAACCTCTTCTTCAATGCTGTCAAGTTTTTTCCTTTTATTATTATTATTAGGGGCTGCCTAATTGTGTCTGGTTCAAGTTTCGATTTTTCCTCCTGGGTCTATGCTTACTTGTATAATGAACTTGTTGGTTGCCCTTGGCGAGGTTGAGAAGGATGTTTGGATTTGGTTGTTACCCGTTATTGTTGATGTGTTTTTTGCCCCTTGAATGAAAGTAGATATATTTTATTTTTCATTGGGGGTGGGGTGAGTGTGAAAAGCCTTGTCCGCAATCTCAAGGGGTAGTACATAAGTAGAATTGTTGGTAATGTCGTATGATGGTATTCAGCATGGGGAAGGTTTGTAATATTTAGTATTTAGCTATCTTTTGATTGAAATTTTAGTTGAAGTTGTTAAGGTTTTTGGATATGTTTTGGACGAAATTGTTTCTTTTGCTTCGAAAGACCTGAATTACTGAGTGTTTTTTATTTTGCGGGCATTTAATATTTGTTGTTTAAGACTTTCTCATTTTAAAATGCTTGACAAATCCTTGGCTTGGGGGTAGATAAATGGTACCTATTGTCTCTTGTGTTCCGGTGTGTTTGATTAAGATTTTCACCTGTACCAAGGATAAGAGTCAAAATTTCAATGCACCTTTCATGGCTTTAGATAGTGTTTATTAGAATTATATTAATCTTTTTATGCTCAATTCATGTTGTCATTGAACAGCATCTAAAACAATCAAGCTCTTAGTTTTTTTAAATGGTACTCTCAGCCAAGGTTGTCTTACTTGAGTTTATATAAACTTGTGGAGGGTTAGTATATTCATTGTAAACTAGTATGTTTACCTTATGCCAAAATAATATTAAAAATACTTAATCGTAGTATACAAACCAGTTCCAACTTCACAGTAAAGCATACCATATAACAAATGATATTACAATTATTTATGGTTATCAAACTTGGGGAGTCAACTCTTTAACTCAAATAAGTTGTGAGTTGAGTGTTGTTCACGAGTAATTTGTGAGTAGACTTGTTTTTTAGCAAATTCGTGCAGACCTAGAGTAAACTGGGTCAAACTCAAGTTTACTCACGAGTATATTATCGAGTATATTATCAAGTCACGAGTCGACAGTGAGCAAGGTTTCTTCATCTTTTTCAACATTCCTCTCTTCCATTAGAACTCATCTCATCACCACTTATCCTCGTCAAACTCATCTTCGTGCCAAGCGTTATATTCTTCTCTCTCCTTCGCGATGGATTTCTCTCCTTCACACAATGCCTCTCTCTCCTCCGGATGTCTCTCGTGCGACATGTCTCTCTCCTCCGTGTGCAACGCATCTCCCTCCTCTACAAGACACAATGTGGTCGTCTTCTTCATGCGATACTACTTGTTTTAGATTTGTTTGGTTATATTATTCACGTTTATTCTTTATTTCTATTTTCTTTCTTTTTTTAATTTTTTTTACATTTTAAATTTTAGTTCTTTTATTCTGTTTTAGCTTTTTTACTTTAAGGAATAGGTTTTTTAATTCTTTGTTTTTTGTTTTTGTTCTTATGAATTAGTTGTTAAAATGATGCAATGTCAGTAATTAAGACAGGTTTAATTTTTTTTATGTCAATATAGTTGTTGAAAGTAAAAATGAAAAAAATAAAATATATATTCAATAATTATATGGACTAAATATTTTGGATTATAAAAAAATTAAATATAATTTTATTTAAAGATATTTAATAGATGAATTTTCATAATATATTTATTTTTCATACGAAGTAGACTTTGACGAGTCTATGAGTCGAGTTTACGAGTCAAGTATGTAAAACTCTCATAAGTTTACATAGACTTTCGAGTTTTGATAACCTTACAATCATTCTTAATGATCCAAGTTATGAACTTCTCAAACTTCAGTCCATTTATGTTGCAAGAAAAACTAAAAGTTATACTTTTAATAATAACAAATAACAATTCTAATTAATTGAAAAATGATAAAATAAAATAACAGAGAGGAGCATTGCTGACCTTTTGGTTTGGGCATACAGATTTCAGTTTTAATAGTGTACGAAGGAAGTTAAGGGTTCAAGGCACACCTCCTCTAGCTTTCAGTTGCATGCAGGTTAGAAGGGTGTAATTGGTTCTTTTGCCAGTTGCTGGCTTCCATTTATTCCTGATCAGCTCCTTTCTTTGGCTACTGAGTTCCTGTTGTGAGCTTTGTAGATGGTTGTCCTTTTGTATTGAGGTTGTCATAGATCTGGGTCATGGTTGGTGACTGGTCAGAGAAATGACTGGTGTTGCTTGGTGGTTGATGGTGGCCAAGGTCATCAGAGAAATGGTTGTTGGCCAAGCAATACTCAAATGCAGTCATCAGTCACAATTGGTCGCAGGGTTTTTTGTGACTTATGTTTCAGAACAACACAAAATTAAGCAAAACACAAGCATTCTTGTTTTTAGGAGTTTTATGTGCTGCATTTCTATGTACTAGTGAACTTGACCCTGAATGTCCAAGTTTATACAAGCTCATCTGAATTTACAGCCAAGCAAAACTGTAAGTTTAACAGCCACACTCTTTGCCTTGGAATGGGGGATGGTTTTTTATGTGTACTGATACATGCTTTTCTTTCTAATTTGGATCGCCTAAAAGACTTTTTAAAGATTGGTATAGAAAGTTGAACTTACTGATGGCATTAACGATAGGAAGCTAATATACCTTTCGGCAAAAGACTCAATTTATAGGGGAATAAAACTCTTGGTCAATGGTTCAATTAGGGTATTGGTTGTCTAAATTTGCACTCATAGTCTATTGGATTATGCATACCTTCTACTGCGTGTCAAAAGATCCATTTAAGAGCATGTTTGGGACATGTGAGATATTTCAGTTGTTTTATTAGAAAGAAAAAAAAAAAAACTATTTGCAGGATAAGCGGTGTTTGGAACAATAATTGAAATTTGTAACTTATTATTTTCTTGTAGTTTATTTACCTTTTCAGCTTCATATGTACTTAGTATCTTATATAAACTGATTTTTGTTGTTGCATCCAAACAATTTATTATCTTAAAACCACTTTTCATTAAACTTATTAAAAGAAATTAACTGATACAGCCATTAAAGGGGAATTAAACGAGTCGTTAGTGCATGAAGGCAATCATGGAAGATGGGGGCGTGTTTACGTAAGGAAAAGGCATTAGAAGGGTGATGAGGTCATGATTGGTAGTTAAGGGGTATTTTGGGGTATTTTGCCTTTTGTTATCCTTATGGTTATTTAGTATCAGAATGGGGAGAGAGGGGAGGGGGGATTCTTTTTTGGTTATCACTCATTGAGGTAGAGGAGACTTCTCTTGAGAGGTGACTCTAAGGAGCTTAGCTTTGGGTAGATTGGGTACCCATTCCCATCTATTTTTTTTCTTGATCTTTTATCTTTTTTTTTAGTTCAATCAAGGTCCCTGTTTCATTTAGTTTTCAATTTATATATATTATACTCTGTTTTTTGGGTTTGCATCAATTTGGTCCGACCTGCCGGATTAGAATCAACGGAGGTGGATGCCCACCATCAGGAAACAGAAGAAGGATAAACAACAGAAACCAGCGGAAATGGAGGCATGCTTGAGCCACGTAGAAGGAGAGTTGGATCGGGTGCAATCTTGGATAGAAGAACTGGGTCTTAAAGCAATAGAGAGTAAGTTGATTATGGACCAATTACAAAAACAATCGGAGGAACAGACGAAACTCATGGAGGCCATCTCCCTGAGTATCGGGAAGAGTGGAAGTGAAAATGGCGGGGAAAATTCGGTGAGACAGAAGGAGAGTGAGAAATCAAAGATGAGTGTGAGCTTGAAGCCATTGAAGGGAATAGCCTTGGAGGAATTCTGCCAATCTCTAAAGAAAGTGGAATTACCCATGTTTAATGGAGAGGATCTAGCTGGTTGGATTTCGAGGGCTAAGATTTATTTTCGTATTTATGAAACAAGTGAGGACGTGAAGGTGAATCTTGCACAGCTATGTATGGAAAATGGAACCATCCATTTCTTCAACGCCTTGCTCAATGATTACGATGAATTGGCTTCGAATGATCTTAAGAAAGAGCTGCTAGAACGTTACGGAGGGATCGGTGAAGGAGGAGTATTTGAGCAATTAACCTCTTTGCGGCAAATTGGAGGAGTCGAAGAATACATTCAGAAATTTGAATGTTTAACTTCCTAGATTCCAAAACTTTATGATGAACAATATTTTGCTTATTTCATCCATGGCTTACATGTAGAAATTCGTTCGAGAATGAGAAGTTTAAATGTGGTGAACCCGATGTCTCGCGGAAGGATGATGAATGTTGCAAAAGCAATTAAGCTGGAGCTGTCTAGCCATGGAAGAAATTGGAGTGAGAAGAAGGAGACACGTGGGAATGGGAGCTCGTAGTCGGGTTTCCGAGTAAGCTCCAGTGAACCGGGTCAAAATAACACAAGGAGTTTTGGAAGACAAGGGGGTGGTAATGGACCTGGCCCAAACATACCTGTTGATCCTGGAGAAAAAAATAGAAATGGGCCCAGAGACAGGGGTGTTAGGCATTTGGCCTACCAAGAACTTTTGGAACATCGCCAAAAAGGGCTTTGCTTTAAGTGTGGTGGGTCCTATGGCCCACTCCATCAATGTCCTGTGAAGCAATTACGTGTCATATTAGTGGATGATAAGATCCAGGTGGCGTGTGAGGAGGAGAATTGCGTGTCTAGATGTGAAGATGAAGTCGTGGAAGTTGAATCTGATGGCGAATGTAGTGCTTTGAGATTATTAAGTTCTCAAATGGAACAAATGGGTGATTCACAAACACTAAAGATGCGAGGAAAAGTGTTTGACATCCCTCTTCATACTCGTTGACAGCGGCGCTTCCCATAACTTTATTTCTCGAAAATTAGTGGAGGCTATGGGATGGAGTTGGGAGGAGCCAAGGAGTATGCGAATTTTGTTGGGCGATGGCCATAAGATTTTGATAGGCGGGGTTTGTTGCAATTTAACTGTAGAGGTGGATTCATGTAGTTTTGTGGATGACGCCTATCTCTTTGAATTGGAGGACATTGATTTGATTTTGGGAATGACATGGCTAAGCTCTTTAGGGGAAATGCGTGTGGATTGGAAGTAACAAATTATGAAGATTAATACTTCTCAAGGAGAAAAGACGTTGATGGGACTCCCACCGAGAGAACTGAGATTCATTTCTCTGTGCCATTTAATGGGAGGAACAAAGGCAGTCCTGGACAACGTAAATACAGGGGAACAACAAGAAGCCTTAGAGAGTATTTTGAGAAAAAATATAGATGTTTTTAAGGAACCAACCGGTTTACCTCCTCCACGAGCTCGGGAGCACAATATTAGTCTCCAACTAGGAACGGACCCAGTTAATGTGTGACCTTATCGATACCCTCATCATCACAAGAATGAAATAGAGAGACAAGTGAAGGAATTGTTGGCAAATGGGCATATTCAATATTGCCAGAGTGTTTATTCTAGCCCAGTAATTTTGGTCAAGAAAAAGAATAATCAGTGGCGTATGTGCGTGGATTTTAGGGCTCTAAACAAGGTTACAATACCTGACAAATTCCCAATTCTGGTAATTGAAGAGTTGCTAGACGAGTTACAAGGGGCTAAATACTTTTCTAAATTGGATTTGACTTCAGGGTATCATCAAGTACGTATGAGGACTGAAGACATACACAAAACAACGTTTAGAACCCATGAGGGCCATTATGAGTATCTCGTAATGCCTTTTGGGTTGATGAATGCTCCCTCTACGTTCCAAGCTTTGATGAATGATGTTTTTAGAGATTATTTAAGAAAAAGGGTGCTGGTTTTTTTTTATGATATTCTCGTGTATAGTAAGGGATGGCAAGAACATTTACAGTTGCTTCAAGAGGTCTTGGAAGTTTTGAGGCACAACAAACTGATTGCTATACGTGAAAAATGCACTTTTGGCCAAGAACAAGTTGAATACTTGGGTCATATCATCTCTGTACAAGGAGTGGCAGTAGACCCTGCCAAGGTAAAGAGTGTTCATGAGTGGCCAAGGCCAAAGAACGTGAAGGGGATTAGGGGTTTCCTAGGCCTTACTGGCTATTATATTATAGGAAGTTTATAAAAGATTATGGTAAGATTGCACAACCACTAACTGCTCTAACAAAAATAGATGGCTTCAAATGGGATGCTCTGGCTCAACAAGCGTTTGATGATTTGAAGAAACGTGTGACATAGGCACCGGTGTTGAGGTTGCCAAACTTTGAAGAGCAATTTGAATTAGAATGTGATGCTTCTGGAATAGGAATTGGAGCCATTTTGATGCAAAATCGCCGACCAATTGCATATTTCAGCAAGGCATTGGGTGAGAAGAATTTATCTAAATCTGCCTATGAGAAAGAGTTGATGGCAGTTGTCCTTGCTATCCAACATTGGAGACCCTACCTGTTAGGAAGGAAATTTGTCGTGTTTTCAGACCAAAAAAGTCTGAAACAGTTGTTGAGTCAAAGAATTTCAACAGGTAGTCAACAAAACTGGTTGGCCAAGTTGATGGGGTATAATTTTGAAATAATTTACAAGCCTGGGAGGGAGAATAAGGGAGTTGATGCCCTATCAAGAAGTAGAGAGGTGGCTGAATTGACTACTATGATTTATTATCTTGAATGGTTAGATTGGCAACAATTGTCTCAGTAGGTGAAACAAGATACTCATTGGAAAAAAATTATTTCTGATTTACAGCAGGATAAGGAGGCTCATACTGGTTTTTCTTTTAATCAAGGAGTACTACTTTACAAAGGGAGATTGGTGGTGCATGAACTGTCTCCTTAGATTCAGAAGTTATTGGAAGAATTTCACTCTACTCCTCAAGCTGGTCATTTTGGTTTTTATAGGACATATAGAAGATTGACCTCCAATTTATTTAGAAGGGCATGAAAGATGTTAAACGGTTTGTGCAAGCTTGTGATATTTGCTAGCGTCAAAAGTATAATGCTACCTCGCCTGGAGGCTTGCTGCAACCTCTTCCAATACTAGAGCAAGTTTGGGAGGATATATCAATTGATTTTATCACAGGGCTGCCACATTCAAAGGGCTATGAAGCTATTCTAGTTGTCGTAAATAGATTGACCAAATATAGCCACTTTGTTCCATTGAAACATCCCTACACTACCAAAGGAATTACTGAGATTTTTGTAAAGGAAGTAGTGAGGCTTCATAGGATTCCAAAATCTATTGTGAGTGATAAAGATCCCTTATTCATGAGTTTATTTTGGAAAGAATTTTTTAAACTGCAGGGAACACGGCTCAAGATGAGCACAACTTACCATCCACAAACAGATGGCCAAACTGAAGTTACAAATAGGTGTCTCGAAACCTATTTGCGTTGTTTCATCACTGACCAACCTCGAAATTGGTTTTTTTGGGTGTCATGGGCAGAATTTTGGTTCAACACAACTTATCATGAGTCTATAGGTACTACTCCATTTGAGGCATTGTACGGACGTGAGCCTCCAAAAATAATACAATGTATTCCCGGGGAAGTGAGGGTGGAGTCAGCTTAGAGAGAATTAATTGATTGATCGTGATGAAGCACTGAGACAGTTAAAAACACATTTGCTACGAGCCCAAGATCGCATGAAACGCAGGTTGATAAGCACAGACAAGAAAGGGTGTTTGAAATTGGTGACATGGTATTTTTGAAACTCAAACAGCATAGACAACATTCTGTAATGACTAGAATTAATCCTAAACTCAGTGCCCGCTATTATGGCCTGTTTAAAATTCTGGAAAAAAATTGGAGAAGTGGCCTACAAGTTACAGCTCCCCTCCACTTCAAGGATCCATCCTGTGTTTCATGTGTCCTTGCTCAAGAAAGCAGTGGGGAATTATGAGGTAGCAGTTGAATTACCTATGGTGCTAGAAGATGATAAAGGGGAATTCTTAAGTCTGAAGTTGTTTTAGCCTCTAGACATATGCTCAAGCATGGTGAGCGACTGAAGCAATGGATGATCCAATGGAAAGGGAAGTCCACTGAAGATGCAACATAGGAAGATGAAATTACAATCCGCAGCCAATTCCCTTTTCTATGTCTTGAGGACAAGACAAATGCTCAAGGGGGAGGTATTGATACAGCCATTAGAGGGGAATTAAACGAGCCGTTAGTGCATGAAGGCAATAATGGAAGATGGGGGCGTGTTTATGTAAGGAAAATGCATTAGAAAGGTGATGGAGTCATGATTGGTAGTTAAGGGGTATTTTGCCTTTTGTTATCCTTACGGTTATTTAGTATCAGAATGGGGAGAGAGGGGAGGGGGGATTCTTTTATGGTTATCACTCATTGAGGTAGAGGAGACTTCTCTTGAGAGGTGACTCTAAGGAGCTTAGCTTTGGGCAGATTGGGTACCTATTCCCATCTGTTTTTTTCTTGATCATTTATCTTTTTTTTAGTTCAATCAAGGTCCATGTTTTATTCAGTTTTCAGTTTATATATATTATACTCTGTTTTTTCGGTTTGCATCATTAACTCAATATAATGGAACCGATTATTAAAATTACCTATTTTTTTGCAGTTGTTCCAAACATACCCTTATTGATATGTCTATCATAGTGATGAGTTAGGAAAAAGTTATGAATTTTATTTCGATCCTATCTTTCATATAGTGAGCCCCCATTAGTCTTGAATATGCATATCAGATGTCAAACCAGCAATTACTCACTGGTTCAGTCTCTAAAATGCGTATTATTTTCATCCCATCTTTCATATGGTGAGCACCTAATTGAATGGAGAAACAAATTTTTAAACATGCTATTTTTTATTTGGAGGCTGTATGATATCTTTTGGTATGCAATAATACACTTTTTTTTGGTTTGTTTTCTCCTGTAAGGCTGTAACATCCACATGAATTTCATTTTCTGAGTGAGAGAATGGACTATTTGCTTGCATGTCAAATTGTTGAATAAATTTCCATCATCTTGATAATTCCTGTGCTTCTGCTGTACTACAGGTGATAAAGTGGAGATGTCCAAAGCAAACCCTCCCTCCCAGTTGTGATACTGGTTTCCAAAAGAAACTCCTCTATCTAGAATCCATTGGTATTGACTCTTTCTCTTTTATTGAAAACCATCCAACACTGATCACCACCTCTCTTACTGATATAAAATCCACCGTGGAATACATTACCGCGATGGATTTCACTGCAATCGAGTTTCGGCGAATGGTTGGAATGTGCCCTGAGATTCTGACCACTAATGTGTCAGACATCATACCTGTCTTCACCTTCCTTCATCGGGAGGTTCATGTGCCTTGTTCAGACATTAAGCGGGTCATAAATCGCCGGCCGAGGTTGCTTGTCTGCAGTGTTAGTAAGCGACTTCGTCCCACCCTATACTTCCTCCAAAGTATTGGCATAGAAGAGGTAAACAAGCACACTGACTTGCTATCATGTAGTGTTGAAGAAAAGTTCATGCCCAGGATTGATTACTTTGAGAATGGTGGGTTTTCTCGGCGTGATGCAACTTCAATGTTTCGCAGATTTCCTCAGCTGTTTTGTTATAGTATTAAAAATAATTTGGAGCCTAAATACAGTTACTTTGTGGTGGAGATGGGGAGAGATTTGAAGGAGCTGATAGAATTTCCACAGTATTTCTCATTTAGCCTAGAGAATAGAATTAAGCCTAGGCATAAAAAGTGTGTAGAAATGAGGGTGTGTTTTCCTCTCCCTGACTTGTTAAAAACAAAGGAAGTGAAATTTCATAGTAGATTGGATGTGTTTGTAAATTCTTCAACACCCTTGAAAACATCCCCTCTGTGGTGTGCTGGTGGCAACTTTTATGAATGAAGTATAGAATAACAATTGCATTGTACATTTAATTACTTTTCTGAATTTCTAAACGGCCATTTTTAGTATGCACAAGTTAGAGATAATTAGTCATGAGCATCCCTTATAAACCCTTCTCTGATTCTATTATGTGTGAAACAATTTTGTGCCATTTCCAATGGAAAGAAAAAGAACCTTTGGCCAAAACTCTTCCAACAGATATACACAGTCTCTTAGCATGTTCTATATTGCTTCCAGTTCCAACTGGTACTTGGTTGTTCAACTTGAAATCTAGAATATCAATTCTGTCATTTTCCTGTGAACTGTTTTTCAATTATCCAAAAAGGAATTATTTTTTAATAAAATTTCATTGTTTTATTTTTAAAACATCACTTCAATATAAAAATTCGAGTTTCATACTTTTTAATTTTTCTTATTTCAATTATTATTAATATTATCATAATAAAAAAAATCAAGTAATGTTACTAAATGAAGTCAGAATTCTGAATGTAATTTAAAAATTGTCATGTTATGAAATATGACATTTTCATATTAAAAATATCGTATTATGATTTTTTTTTTAAAATTGTTATGAAACAAGACTTTTTAAAGTGTTGATTTGTTTTTATGAGTTTCCTATTCAACAATTGAAAAAAAAAATTATACTTGGTAACAAATTTCTTATGGCACTTCCTAATGTTTATTAGGTTTTGGGGAATGGAAAAATACATTTCATAAAGTTGAATTGAATCTAAAATGAGTGGAAATGGTCTAGAAAACTGTGGGGTACAATAAGTTGGATCCTTACTAGCCCATAAAACTCATCTTAGGACCAGGCCCAATAGAGCCCAATTGCATGCAGAAAATAAATTGAATAATAATTAACAATAGAGCAATAACTACTTAACCAGTGAAGTGAGTGTCTAGCTGGCAACTAACATAACTTCCCAATTGGTCCTTACTTCCCGCTTCTTCTTCTCTTCTCTGCACCAAAGATTTTGCAGAAACAACCAAAATGCGAAGCTGCATCAACCTCTGGATCGTGCTTGCACTCGTCGTCCCTGTGCTCCTCTCTCTCAGAAGCCCTCGAGGCGAAACCCAAACCAAACCTTCTTCTTCTTCTTTCTCTGATTCTTCTTCCTTCTCCGTGAAGCTTGCCAACACATTCCACTTCAACCAAAGGATCCGAGACGGGTCCAATCTCGAATACGATTTCTACAGGGACACGTGTCCCCAAGCCGAGGGCATTGTCCGTTCAGCGCTCACGCGCATCTACTTCGACCACAGGGACGTTGCACCTGCTCTGCTTCGTCTCTTCTTCCACGATTGCTTCATACAGGTCCTTCTTTTCTTTCTGGGTTTCCTTGTTTTGTGATAAAGTTTTTCTACTTCGAAAATGGGGTATTTTTGTTTTTCTGTTTCTTGCTCCCAAGACTCTGAATTTAGAGCCTTTGCTATTATAAGTTAAATGGGTCTTTCTTAATTGCTTGGGTTTTTCTTTGGTTTTGTGGCTTTTCTTGATTCCTTCTTCTAAATTGAGAGGTTCCTATTACACCATGTACTTGTGGATAAGTCCTCAAGGACAGTGCTCTCGGACGTCTGTAGACATTTATATTGTTCCTATGCTCAGCCATTAAATACTCCATTTTGTACTTGGAATAGTTAATAATGGATAGAAACCTTGTGCTGTTGTGTAGATCACTGATTTCACTTTTTCTTCTTAGTACTGTTTAATATTGATGTGTAAAAACCCTTTGTAGGTTAACTAGAATTTTGTTAGATACTAGTTTAAAAATAAGTATTGCAATGGTTAATAATCTTAGCATACGTGTTATTTATGATTGAATGACATTTTAAGTAGTTATTATGCACGCACACAATTCCTTTTTAGACTATGTTGCATCTGGGGTGTTCATGAATCAGGGGTGTGATGCTTCGTTGCTGTTGGATGAGAACGATGGTGATAGTAACCGTTCCGTGGAGAAGCAGGCTGTGCCAAACCAGACATTGAGAGGTTTTGACAAAATTGATTTGATAAAGGAGGAGGTGGAGCAAGCATGTCCTGGTGTTGTGTCTTGTGCTGATATAGTTTCTCTTGCGGCCAGGGATTCTGTTCTTCTGGTACATATTTCATTGTTTACAATTGACTTGGGTCCTTACTGTATGCTTAAATTCAACACATTTCAGGATTTGTTTTTCTGATTGTATTACAGAAAGCAGCGAGACTTTAAATTGAAGATCTGAATTATGATGGATTGGTCCTGTTTCTGGGACTTATATGTCAACAACAAAAAACACCAAAAAGTATTTTGCAATAATGATGCTATGATAATATTTCTGAATCTGTTTATTACTTCATTATACTTTTGTTGTTACTGAAGTACCTCACTTTACCTATCCATAGAGTGATGCCAAGTTCGTTTTCAGGCTATATTTCCCAGATGATTCTTGTACTGGGAAAGCCAATTATAGACAAGTTTACTAGATCCTTTGCTTTGTTGCAAGTTTGTCTTGACTCATTTTGTTATGTCTATGTTTATGTTCACTTTTGTGCTTGGTCAATCATGCGCCTGGACATTATCTTCGATAAGATAAGCTATTAATCTTTTTCCTCCTTAACTCTGATATATTGATATCATGATCAGGGGTAGAAACTAGTTAAGAATACCACTTTTGCTGTATGTACTACACTTGTTACAAGTTCAATGTCATTGCACCTATGATATGTTTTCTGCATATGGCCATGACAGGCTGGTGGACCTTTCTATCCTGTTTTAACCGGCAGAAGGGACAGCCATCAATCGTTTTACGAAGAAGCAACTGCGCAGATTCCCAGACCTGATGATAATGTTACACGCACACTGCATCTCTTTAATCTCAGAGGGTTTAATGCAAGAGAAACTGTCAGCCTTCTTGGTAATTGCTCCACATTTTGTTTCATCTTAAATATTTCTTTCCCTTAGTTTCTCGTCTAGCTCTCCATTCTTAGTTAGTTGTAATCTACTCATAATATTTTGTTTCTTTATATAGCCTCACTATCAAACGTGTTAATTTTGTAGACTATGTTTTCCTTTTTCTTGCTTTTTAATCACTCAAAATATTATCCCAAATTGAAACTTATGATCTGTATGATCAAAAAGTAAGCAAAGCTACTCTTAATATCAGGCTCTATATAACTGACTTCACCTAGTAGGGATAAAGCTTCTGTTATTGTGATCCATGAATGGAATATGACTAATGGGGTGGATTCATTTGATTGATGATGATGTGAAGGAGGACACAACATTGGCAAAATTGGTTGTGATTTCATTCATCAAAGGCTGTACAACTTTCAAGGCACAGGACAGCCAGACCCCAGCATACCTCTTGATTTCCTTCGTCAGATGAGACTAAACTGCCCAGACAGCACGAACACCAGCAGCAATGAAGATGAGTTTGTGACTTCAAAGCCCATGAGCAGTGATGTTCACTCTAGACTGGGGATGTCATATATGCAAGCACTGTCATCTTCAGTGTCATCAGGTTCAGCATTTGACACTCACTACTACCAGAGCCTGCTAAGAGGAAGAGGACTACTTTTTGCTGATCAGCAACTGATGGCTGAGGAGAAAACTGCCAGATTGGTCTCTGCTTATGCTTCAGATGATGGATCAACCTTTCGCATGGACTTTGCCAGGGTCATGTTGAAAATGTCTAATCTTGATGTTTTGACAGGACTTCAAGGTCAGGTTCGACTCAATTGCTCCCAACCTGTGACTTCTTGAGTGAGTATATATCTACACTTGGGATATTTCATTCATTTGTACAGTTTGGTACACCAAATTTGATTCCTGATAGAATATACATTTGAGGCTAGTTTTGGTCATCAAAAGTGTGGGGGTGAGTTGCGGAAAATTTATGGATTTGGTCACATTGTATATGATGGTTTTAGTCTGTGGAAATGTTCTTTCATTTCCCACTCATTAGAAAGAAAAAGAAATCCCTATTATCATAATTGTAACAGCTGTTTTGCATGAATTGTATCAGTCCATCAAATATGTATAAAATTACGAGGTCCAAGTTTGATTCATAACACCAATTCACCATATTTACACTCTCGCTTGATAATATTTTAAATACATTATCTGTTATAAACAAAATTTTATAATATTTTTTTTTCTTTTAATTGGTGAGATTCATTTACTTGTATTTTAAATTTTTTCCTTAAATTTTTGAGTAATTTTTTATTTTGGTCCTCCAATTCAAAATCTACTTTTATTTCTATTATTTCAAATTTGCAAATTGTTAGTTTTTAGTTTTCAGAATGAATTTGAAGGAATAAAAAAACAAAAATTTGTTAATTTTAGTCCCTTGACATGAAGATGGAAGATTAAAACCACATTCTGTGAATTTGAGAGAATAAAAGTAATAACTTTAAATTGAGGGACTAAGTCAAAACTTTAATTTAAAGCAGTAAAATATATGAGAAAAATTACGATTATCTTCCTTGATATCATGTTAAATAACGTAGATACCTATATTTCTTAAGATTTAATAAAATAACAATAACAGTTCCTAAAAGACATTCACATTTTTTTTAATAAAAAGACATTCATTTCCTTTATGTTCTTTATAAAGTATTATTCATTTTCCGTATTTTATTTATAAATAACATATTGGTTAAAGTTTAATTAAAAATTTAAAATATAAAAATTGAATAATTTACTTATGAAAAAAATGCATCCAGCCAATTTTTTTTTAAATGATATGAACTAGTGAGTGTGACGTATGTTTTATATATATATATATATATATATATATATATATATATATATATATATATATATATATTATAATAATATTATTGTGCAAGAAAACTTCTTAACGAAGTTTTACTCATGTAGAGTAAAATTTTTCTTTTATATATACGCGTACGGAAAGGAGGGAGGAGGCATCGGCAAGTAGTTCTCCCTCTCATCCTTCTTCTTCTTTTGTCTAAATTTCAAGCAACGAGACTCTACTCGTGTAGGATCTGGTGAAACGGAAGAGAACTTGAATTAAGTGAGAAAACTTCGGTAGAAATACTACACCAGGTAAGGAGAAGTTTAATTCATTCAATATATGAGACTGAATTATTGAGTACTCTGTGAATAAGGAATATGAGTGAAAATCTGAACATTAGAATGATTGATTTTGAAGATTTCTCATATTTTGCAAAACTTGAAATTTTGTTGAAATTCTTGAAATTAAGGATGAATTATATGGTAAAATTGTTGTTTTCAACTTAAATTAGATATAAGTCATGTTTAATTTGAATTTGAGACTAGTTTGGTTGTTTAAAACTAAGTAATTTGAAATCTGCAAAATTTGATAGTGTTACTAACGTGAGGAAGAAAAAATGGACATGAAAGGAATTTTCGAAAATGTTCAAGGGTAAAATAGTCATTTTCGGGACATGGAAGGAATTTTCGAAAATATCCAAGGGTAAAATAGTCATTTAGGGACATACATGGAATTTTCGGAAAAGATTAAGGGCAAAATAGTAATTTAATGATTTCGGAAATGATTTCGAAAATATATATATATATATATATATATATATATATATATATTTAAAATATAGAATGAAGGTAGTAGTTTTAAAGATTCAGGTAGTGTGTTGTGACGTGTGTATGTCAGATTGAGTCTAAGGGCTAATGCCCAGAATCAGTCATGAGATGTTATGTATTGGCTAGACTAAGCCAAAGAGTTGGTGCCCAAAATCAGTCATGTATTATTATTATTTATTGACTTGAATGAGCCGTGAGGATAGGTGATCCAAAATTCGGCAAATGTGAATGATTTTTGTTGTGTTTGAATGGTACTTGGGGTGGTACAGAGTACATTAGTGTAATAACTATGTCGGAGGATTCTGAATGAGGTCCCAGACTTCACTGATTGGTCGGGTCAGGTAGACTACAAGATCAGGTGGTGAGAAGTCGATGGGGGATGACTGGTGGCGCGCTCGGAGCGGTACTCCAGTATGAGTGATGAAGGGCGCCAGTAATCCTACTTTGTGTGGAGGGTGGTCAGAATGGTACTGCGGGTGCCGATCACAATGTGCCCACAGATGATAGCCTCTAAGTTCGGGCATAGTTAGGGTAGACTTCCGGAAGACGTCTTAGTGTATTGATGATTTGTAATTGATGATAATATGTAATTATTACTTCTATATCTGTTTTATTATATCGAATGATTTAATACTTACCCCTATTTTTCCATGTGGATGAGACTGCGATGATCACTTTTATGTGAGAGCAGATCAGGAGTTGAGATGTGGAGATGCGACTACTGGACTGCAGGAATAAATCAATGGGGTAGCTTTGTGGAAGCTACTTTTGCATGTATCTGTATAAATAAATTATGTTACTATGTTCTGAGGTTCCATTAGTGAACCAAAATTTCGATCTATATTACAACTACAGTAATATAATGTAATATAAATATTGTTATTTACTTGTTTACTATTTTACGAAAATATAATTATAGTAATGATTTCTAGGATCGTTATAGTGAGTGTTAGTTATAAACTAAAATTATAAATTAAAATTGAGTAACTAAAGCAATTATATAAAAAGAAATCACAAAGACCACAACCCCATCATCATGATCATTATTGGCATCATAATGCAAAGGTGGTAAATAGGGTGAATCCTCCTCATATATATATATATATATATATATATATATATATATATATATATATATATATATATATTAATTCGATATATTATATGTTAAATCTAGAGTTTTGTTTGGCATGCTATAAGTCATAAGACATAGAACAGTTGTGTAAGCTTTTATATAAGCATTGCAACATTCGTCAATTTTGATTAAAAAATAAAATTTAAATCTTTAAATGTAGTGTCTTGTTTTCAATTTTAAGTAAATCAATTAAATAAAAAATATTAAAAAATATACATTAAATAGTGATATTATAAAGAGTACTTCTTCCTACATGAATTTCTTCCTATATCCATGAAATAGGTAAAATAATAAAAATGACCTTGTTCTCTTTTATGTCAACCATCGTTACCTTTTTTTGTTGGTCGTACCTTTATACGTCCTCCACTTCTTTGGTTTGTTGCATTTTCATTGAAGATCATTTTTTTCTTTAAGGTTAGAAATTTGTGGATTATTTATGCTTTAAATCTATATAGAAAAACTGATCTGAAAAAACTCAAATGCTGCATATGGATTGTTCTACATTGCTAAATTTAGAACAAATTTTCTTGAAACACAATCGGAATACATTTCCAGAAATCCGAAAATATGTTGATAAACTTTTTTTGTATAGTTTTCATTATGGCCAAGACTAAGGACAATGGTTCTCAACCCTCCAAATGTGTTCAACCAATTGCCTCTTGAAGACAAAAGGATCGTGGGGAGTCAAACTTGGTTAATGAGTACCAATACAATGTGGACAAGAATGTTGTGGATGAGCAACATCAACAATCTACAACAAATTATCAATCTTTTCTAAGAGGCTTTCGTTACTAACAAAATTAGGGATAACAAAATAGGTCAGGTTTGACAAGTTGACCTGCCATAATATGACAAGATGAGTTAGTACTTTCAGCCCATTAGTCCGTTTTGGTCCGTCCTGCCAACCCGCAGGGCGGGGCCGGCCAGCCCACAACTCGCTTTACTAATAATTTTTTTTATTGTGATACAATACAAAGAGTCAGAAAGACAATATATAATATAAATATTTATGAAAAGAGAAATTTAAAAGTCTCAGTGTATTAGTTACACGTGTACCTTTTCCATTTGTTAGTATTGTTTTATGCAGGTTTGACTAACTGCATATTTGACTTTTTTCCTTTTTATATTTAACCTTCTTTTCTTCCTCAAACATATTGGATTTTCCTTTTGTATTCGATCAATATACGAATTAGATCAGTTTTTTATTCTCTGCTATTTTCTCCCAAATTCTCAATGGGATCCATGTTTTTACGTTATGGTATCAGAGCGGGTTAACACCCGCTCTGCCTCCGCTGCATCCTTTCTGTTTCTCTTTTCTATCTTTCTCTGTTTCTTGATGACTTCTGTCAATTCTTCAACTGCTAATAGCAATACAGAAACGCAAACTGTGATTGACGAATCTTTGAATCCTTCAAGCCCGTATTATTTGCACCCAGGTGAGAATCCTGGAATGATTCTTGTTTCAAAGCAATTGAATGGTACGAATTACCATTCTTGGAGTAGGAGTATGCGCAGAGCTCTTCTTTCAAAAAACAAATTAAAATTCATCATTGGAGCCATCAAGATTCCCCAAGAAGACGATCCTCTTCATGACTCATGGGAGAGATGCAATGTCATGGTACTCTCTTGGATAACTCGAACTTTAAGTGATCAAATTGCTCAAAGTACTTGTATATATTGATAATGCAAGAGATCTTTGGGAAGATCTCAAGGAACGATTCTCAAAAGGAGACCATTTTAGGACTTCGATCTGCTACAGGAATTGCACTCCATTAAGCAAGGAGAAAGAAGCGTTTCGAATTCCATACAGATTTCAAAATTCTTTGGGAAGAGTTGGAATCCTTGCGTCCCATTCCTAGTTGTACATGCAATCTGCAATGTTCTTGTGAAACCTTCAAAATCATTGCTCGTTATCGTGAATCCGAACATGTAATATGTTTTACTGAAGGGATTAAATGACGTCTTCACCACTGCAAAATCTCAAATTCTTTTAATGGAGCCTCTCCCAGGAATCAATCGTGTTTTTCGTTAATTCACGCAA